ATATGCCTGGGAATACAGAATAATAGATTTTTGCCTTTAAAGGGCCAGAAATGTTACCCAAACCACCACACTTTTATATTAGTATCTACCATATCTATACTTGAAATCTTTTTTGTATATATGAAAGTTTTATTTTAATGTAAAAAATTCTGATATTAACAGTAATTGGTAAGAGTGTTTGCAATGTAAAATTTAAAAACAAGTGAAACTGAACATTTAATAGCTTTCAAATACAAATATAAGCATAGCAAAATCAAGTAAAATAAATTATACAACTATAAACATTAAACATAAATCCTCTTTCCCTTTTTGCTGCAAAGTAAAATAAAATTAGGGATACATTTATTTAAAATTTTAACCTCCCTAGTTTGGTCCTCAGTCAGGGCACGTGCAAGAAGCAATCAATCAATGTTTCTTTCACGTGGTTGTTCCTGTTTCTCTTTCTCTCTTACTCCTTTCCCCTCTCTATAAAAAGGTCAATGAGCATGTTGCTGAATGAGGGTAAATTTTTTTTAATTTTTAAAAATAAAAATTTTAACCTCCCTCTTTCTCATCAACAAAACAAACAACAAGATTCTTTGGATCTTTACCAGAATAACCCTGCATATTTTTAAGAATCTTTTTCAGTCATTACCTTTAAGGAAAAAAAAATCAGTTCCTCTTTGGCATGGTAACCTCTTTAGCTCTTCCTGCTTCTAGGTCTGTCCCAGCATGCAATGGACATGTTGACCCCCAATGACCAATAAACTCTCAAAGTTATGTTCACGTGCTGGTGGGCCCCACAGAGATCATCTATCTTGGGTTAAATTCAGCTGTAGACATTTTTGTTTGGCTGGTACAGCGCCTGAGGAGGACCTGCATCTGTGTGCACTGGGGAGGGGCGAGTCCTCTGAAGCCTGTACCTCCCCCTGAATAGCAGCTGATTCCACTCATTTATGTCACCTGCCTGCTCCCACTAGGTTGCTGAAATTGCAGGACCTGAAAAACCCTCTCATTGAACAAATGGAAAACCATGGCTTGAAGAAATTAAGCATCTTCCCTGGAGGCACAAGGGTAGCCAGTGCTGGAAAAGAATTACAACTCATGGCTCCAGGCCCCCTCAGGATTTGCTGCCTCCCCACATTTGGGATCTCCACAGTGCCAACATAAACATTAGCTTGGCCACCATGGTCACCAATCTTGCTTTCTGGGTCACCCTGAACAGCACACATACCACAGTCATCCACATGGGTCTGTCAGACATGCCATGGCTGCCTGACCTACAGGGTGCCTTCTTCAACTTGATAACTTTCTCAACATGGTACCTTTTCTCCAGACTGTTTTGAAATGTGTTAAGCCTCCACTTCCCATTTTTAGGTTTGTGGAGGAGGAAAATAGGCAAAGAAGTCCAGGGTAAAAGAAATCACTAGAGCACTGGCTTTGGGGTTGGCGATGGAAATGGGGTGGACTTTCACAAAGGTATTTTTTAACAAACAAAAAACAAAATCAGACTTAAAAAAGCCCATGACACAGTCTTTATTTGAAAACATATTATAGTCAGGGGAGATACAGTGTCTCCTTGGCTCTTAATTTGCCTGCCTGATCTGTTCTCTGGGTTTCTTTTGTCATCACTGCAGGGAGAGCATTCGCCTGTTTGATTTTGACCTTCAAGCAAGGGACAGAGGTGGGAGGACGGAAAGTAGTGATTCTCAAAATTACATACACGTATCACCTGGGGGATTCTTTACCCTGTAGCAATGTGACCCCTCGGAGAGGTATTTCCGGTAGGCCCAAAATCTACATAATTCACCATCACTTGCAGGTGTTTTTTTTTTAATTAATTTTATTTTATTTATTTTTAAAAAATTTTTATTTAGTTATTTTTCAAGTACATTTTGTCTATTTCTCCCATCCCAGCCCTCCCCCCTGCCCCATCTCCCTGCCTCCCTCCCAGTTCCCCCCCCCCCAGTCCTCATCCCTGTGTCTTTCATACTTGTTCCTCAAAATCCCTCCCCATTTTTCCCCTTAAATTCCCTTCTCTCTCCCCTCTGGTCGCTGCCCCCTTGTTCTCTATTTCAGCGTCTTTGTTTTTATTCTGTTTGCTTGTTTGTTTTATTGTTTAGCTTCCTGTCAAAGGTGAGATCATATGGTATTTGTCCTTCAATGCCTGGCCTATTTCACTCAGCATAATGCTTTCCAGTTCCATCCATGTTGTTGCAAAGGGTAGTAGCTCCTTCTTTCTCTCTGCTGCATAGAATTCCATTGTGTATATGTACCACAATTTTTTGATCCATTCATTTACGGATGGACACCTAGGTTGCTTCCAACTCTTGGCTATTGTAAATTGTGCTGCTATGAACACTGTGGTGCATAGGTTCTTTGAAATTGATGTTTTAGGATTCTTGGGGTATAATCCTAGCAGTGGAATTGCTGGGTCAAAAGACAGGTCGATTTTTATTTTTCTGAGAAAGTTCCATACTGTTTTCCATAATGGTTGTACCAGTCCGCAATCCCACTAATTAATGAATTTGGCAAAACAGCAGGATACAAAGTCAATATCCAGAAATAAAAAGGCATTTTTGTATACGAACAATGAATCAGCAGAAGCAGAAACTTGCAGGTGTTTTTGATGCTGGTGGCACGAAGCACACTTGGAGAATGTACTTGTGCTTTAGAGCAGCACTTCTCAAATTTTAGTGTGCCCACAAATCTCTGGTAACATGCGGAGTCTGATTAAGCAAGTCCAGAGGGCATTGTGAGGTTCTGTATTTCTCTCACGCTGCTGGAAGATGCTGGTCCAGGAGATGCTCTTCAGGTCAGCAAGGGTTCAGAGCTCTGGTGTGGCAGCTGGGCATATTGCCTGGGTTCAAAACTCAGCGCTGCTCTCTGCTGCCTGTGAGTCTGAAGAAGTCACTTAACCTCTCTGGGCCTTAATTCTCTCATCCCTGAATAGGATACACTTAATCCTATGATTTTTGTGAGGTTTCAATAAGATAATAAATGTAAAGTTCCTAGCACATAGGGAGGCTTAACAAATGTTAGCTATTATTGTCATTTCTAGGTATTATGCTTTGACTTTTGTGTTAAATATACAAGACTTAAAGAACCCCAGACTGGTGGCTTGGCATACTGGGCTTGCTTGAGTGACCTGAATTCCATGCCCCTCCCCCCACCCACCTCTTCTCCCTTCCCCACAAAAAGCTCATCCCGAAGATGTCAAATGGCCCTTCACTCCGCTGAAACCAGAGGTTCCAGGAGGATAGCAAACTGACTGGCAATCTCAATAGGAACAGGAGAGAGGGTACCAAGTCTTTGAGCTGTGCCCACATTAACAGATTTGGAACTTCTTAAAGAGGTACCACTTCTCCCTGGAAAAACAAAACTCGAGCATTTTCTACCACAAACATCTACAATCATAGCCCCCCACTAACACAGTTCCCTTCTGCCACCACCAGAAAGATTTTCCCTCGTAAATCAGAAAAATTGCCTCAATTCCAGGTTGGCCAGCTAAGAAAAGTCCAGCCAGCAGCTCATCAGCCACTGCAGGTAAGGGTGGTGATAAGTGGGCAAAGTCCAGGATGTCTCACTTCTTGGTTTCACAAAACTTACTGGTATAATAACATTGAGATGCGTCCACTTCCTTCAGCCTGAGCTGCAGGGGAGCGGCTGTGTGGGCTGACCCCCAGCTGAACTGAGTCTCACCTCTTCGTTTTAATCACTGATTCTCAAACCTTAGTCTGCTGGAGCATCTGCTAGGAAAAATTTTAAACTCGCAGACCACACTCCACAAGGTGCAGATTCAGTAGGTCTGAAATGAGTACTAGGTATCTATATGTTTTAATGGACATACCGGGTGATTCTGTAGCAGGCGGTTCATTCTCTGAGAAATAAAGCTTTTTAAAGAGTGAAGAATAAGGCTTAAACATGTGCCAGTTTCACAGGAGCAGCTGTCTAAACCTGGTTGAGTGGCCACACAGGTTAATTCTGTTCCTTTGAATGACCTCAGACCAGTTACCATTGGTTGGGTGAGCAGTGACCAAGTGCTAATCACTTCATACTTCGTTTCCTTTTTACAGACTTGTTACCACTCTCATCCTCACAGAGTAGAATGGAGTCTTGGTTCAGAGGGCTTAAGAAACTTGCCCAAAGTTTCACCCTGAGTTAGTGTCCACAGTGGAACTCTAGCCTGGACTCGTCTGAGCCTGAGTCAGAGCTTTTTCTAGTACTCTCTAAAGCCGAGCTTCTCAAGCTTGAGCACATGTCTGGTTCCCTGGAGGTCCTGTGAACACAGACTGCAGGGCCCATGTTCAGGGTTTCTGTGGCCATAGGTCTGGGCCAGACCCGAGCGTTTGCCCTCCTGACAAGTTCCCAGCTGCTCTTCCTGCTGTTGGGCTTGGAGAACGACAGCCCTAGAGTTAGCTGCTGGGTTTTTTTCGAGAAGTCTGATGCTGCATCTCTCTTGAGCAGTCCTATGTATTCATCCAGGACAATTTAGAAAAGCTTCCTTTTTTCCTTCAACTGTTGCTTAGCCAGTAAGTACATGACAAATGGCCATGAAAGTTGCTGTTAAGCCAGTTGTTAAATGTCTTCGGGTGTTACTTTTAAAGTTGTAATACATCATCCCCTCCCCTCAAGCAGAAAGAACAATTCCCCTTTGTGATGGCTCTGTCATAAGAATTCTGCTTTGCCTTTTATTTCTTTGCTTTAGAAATGATGAGCTGTCGTACTGTGTTTTTACTCCAACTAAGCCTCGGTTAGCAAAATGTCCTTGTAATTAGTTCTGTCTATCCAGGTGCTAAGGAGATAATCCAGGCCTCATGTCTCCTCCCTCCCTTAGTCTGATGATGGAATTCCAATTTCGGTCTGGGTAGGCCTTCCCTTTATGTTAACGACCCTGCCTTGTCTCCTGGGACTTCTGGGGTGTCCCCATACTGGGGACAGCCACATCTACCTTAGTCATGACACAAACTGCTGTGAGAGGACGGAGTGTTTCAGCTGCTGTTCCTTTTGTTTTTCTCAAGGAATCGCATGTGTGGCCTGCTAAGCTATTTCCACAACAAGCTGAAGAAACACAAGGGTGACCCTGTGGAGTTCCTGAAGGGTCTGACGGATACTCCAGGAAAAATTAAACTGGAAACTCAGAGTCAAAAGTCTCCACTGACTTCGTCCTCTCCTGATGCTTCGTGCACAGTCTACAGACCTCTATCTTCAGCAATAAAGCCGTGTCACCAAGGCCCCTTCTTACGCAGAATTCAAAGTACAATTTGACTTGATAATAGTTCAGCCGACATTCTTCATGACTCTTCAACTCAGCCCACCAGCCTGGCCCGTGACAGGGTGTGTGTGGATGAACCGGGAGCCCTGCATGTCAAGCGCCTTGTGCCACCATGAAATCAGGCTAGCCGACCGTCAGGCAGAAATATTTGTGCCTGTTGAACTGGATGGAATGAAAGGAGAAGATGAAACAGCTCATTATACATAAAAGTGTCTGGAATGTGTAGGCCCTTGGAAAATATTAATAGAATCTGTGTCCACTAGGTACCTAAGTCCATTTCTCAAATCTTTCTCTCTGAGAAAAACAACATTTGCCATGGTAATAAAATCAATTCAGGATTCAGCAAAATTCAGAGGGCACATCAGTGAGAGGCAGTCGAGCATTCGGGCTAATGACTTGGACATGAGTTCATGCCTTGGCTCTACCACTCACTCGTGGTATAACTTTGGTGGGCTTACGGTCCCTGACTTTCAGGTTTGTTTCTTATACAGTTGTTACGAGCATGAAATAATTGTGTATTAAGCTTTTAGTACAGTAATTCATAGTAAACACTCAGGAAGTGCTAGTTATTTTACTGATAACTATTTTGGGGATAGATGTGTATATCCACACATATGTGTGGATATATATATTCACAGTATTTTGCAAGTAAATTCAGGTATTTCATGGATTTCTTTGAAGCCTATTTATGCATAGACACTTGGGGCCCATAGGCCCCAATTATCTATAATATAAAGTATTTTCCATGTATTATGTTATTGATCCACTATCTGATGTGTTGGGCTTTGCAGTATTATTTCCCCTCTGTGCTCAGGTAATAGGTTTACAGACTTTCAAATGTACTCCTATGACCAACCAAATGTGACATCCTTGTTCTGAATGTGACAATCCTGAGTCTTACAAATCCAGTCAAATTCAGACCAAGCTCCAGTTACACAGCCTGGAATGGTACAAAGCCTTCCCGACATGTTCCTGTGGCATCTCCTCATCTTTCTCTCTGGCTCATCTCTGGTCTCTTCTGGCCCCTTGTATGCTCTTTCTGTTATGTTCTGTGTTACCCCATATATAGCTAGAACTTGGTCCCCTTACTGGTTCTCACAAGAAATCTACATTGAGTATGTTGTGATTTTGGTGAAGTGTCACATTGTGGAACACAACTTTTCACCATCCTCATCACTTCATCCTTCCCTTCCTCCTCTCTGGCACTTCGAGACAATATCTCCCTTTGCTTCATTTATGTATGGTCCTCAGCCGTATATAGGGCTGTGAGGGTACCACTTTCTATCCCACCCACTCATCAAGAATGGTTTTATCAGACAAATACAGCTCCTTTCCTAAGATAAATTTGGTGGGAAAAATTTCTCCCTCTAATTTCAGATGAATTAATGTCATATTTTATGTCTAAATTTATGTTCCCAGTGCCTTAGGACAGTACCTGCCATGTAACATGTTGATCTACTGGGCCAGGGGGGAAGGGGAGGAGAGAGAAAGAGAGAGAGAGAGAAGGGAGAGGGGGGGAAGGGAGGAAGGAGGAAAGAAATCCCGGAGCTTGTCCTGGACCCAGACCACGATTCCATTAGTCGGCTTAGCGGCTGGTCTGTAGGTGCCTGTCATCCTGCTTATTACTGTAGCACAGGTTTTGTCCTTTGCTTTTCTTTCATGCCTAATACCTCAGTGATTTTTCCCAAGCTAATTTTAGCCCTCACAATAGAGTCATGCTGTGGTTCTGCCCCCTTTTCCCTTTCCCCATGAAGTAAGAGAAGTTCACAACTCACTTCCTAATCCCCTCTCTGGTAATTAGTTGACTCCGGGGGCACCTCACGAAGCCAGGAGCATGTTGTCTTTCATTTCCCCTCCTCCGAGTCTCTTCCCCTATTAACTTCACCTTCCTCAGCCAGAGCAAAAACTAATTGATATGCCTTCTTTCTCTGGACATCATTTGTCTCTTCAACAGTTTTTATTTTTTTTAGAAGTTATCTCCTCAGTTCCTATAAATTGTAGCCTTCCTAGTGTGGCCTTTCCCTTTCGGAGAGATATTATTGGAACCTGGGCTTGAGTCTCCTTCAATTCAGAAGAGAAACAAATGTGGGCTTCTTCCCCACTTTTCTGGAAACCTCTTCATAGAATTTTGAGAGAGATTATGACTGAACCTTAAAAACTGCGTTACTCTGTGTTGTATTGGGGGTGACCCAGCTTGAAGAAGTGCTGTGAATTAAACACAAAAAGGAAGAAGAAAGCGACAGAAGCCACTGGCAGCTTTCCTGCTTTTCAGGAGGAGGGACCTTGCTTTGCACAGTGACACTCTCTCTGCCTCAGGCCCACGGTGGCACAAGGAGGTGAAAGAAAGATGAGCCTTTCCCTGGTGAAGGTGCATTAGACATTCAGATGGCTAACACTGAATCGAGTGGCCAGACTGTGGCCTGTAATTTAATCACACACAGGACCTTCATTTCCACAATTTGTGCACTGTGTGTGTGAGTAGGAGGGACAGTTGCTTTTCATTTCTGTATATCAGGTACTGAGCTGAATACGTATAACATGGTTTGAAGTCAGAACTATTCTGGAGCTGGTTTGAACTGGAGAACTGGTTGCTTGAATGTGTGTAGGGCTAAGGATACTGCAGCAGCTGCAGACTGTAAAGAAAATGAGGAAAGGTTGCCTCCCAATGTTGAAATGTTTGAAAGAATCCTCAAGACCTTTGGAAGATGTGGTTGGGAAGCTGCTCCATTCAGTCTCTGTTTAAGTCAAGTTCTGCACTAGATGACAAAGGTCAACCGGAAAGAAGACTCAGTCCTTGTCTCAAAGGGCACCATTGTCTGGAAAGGTAGACAGAAGTCACTGGATAATTAGAAGAATATGATGAAATAATATGAATTTCCAGCAGTTGAGGAATTAAGGTAAATTTTCTTAGTGGATTATCATTAAAACTATATTTGTTTTGAGTTGAAAATGCTTATGGTACAATGTTATATCAAACAAAGAATAATCATTGCATGTATATATAACAGCTGTGTGAAAAAATAGTATCACTCTTCTAATTAAAACCCTTCAATATTTTCCCATTGCCTTCAGGATACAACTGAACTTCTTCAAGTTGAAGTTCATAAAACTCTTTGTTATCTAGTCCTGCCACCTACATCTCCAAAAACATCTCCTCCCACTTTCCTCTACCCCATGTCATCCTGCTCCAGACTTCTCTAGAGCCTTGAGAAACAATTCTGTTCCCTATTACCATTACTTAAGGACAAACATGAAACAATGCAACACTGAGGCTGAGCTATATTTGCATTTTTCCCCATCACATATATAATGTCTTCAGGCTTTGCCCCACCCTACCCTCACTTCCCTCATTTATACCACTCTGGAGTTAAAACACCCCTAAACTGGAGAAATTTTGAGATTGAGTAATTTTTAAAAGTTATCTTCTTTTCTTGAGCTTTGTTTGCGATGATGTGTCTCTCTGCAGCTTACATCTATCTAGAATTAGAAAGAGACATGGGTTTTCTCTTTGACTGGTTTTGAGATCAAAGACAAATGGGCAAGCTCCAAGGATCTGGATGAAGTTTGCAGTCATTTTAAACCATATTCTGCTTTGTGCAAGTGCTTTGCACAGACAGGTGAGAAAGTGGTAAGGGGAGCCACACCACAAACAGTAGAGAGAGCAGAATGATGATTACTGATTAAGGTACTAAGTTGCAGACTTACATTAAGTTCCAGATTCCACAACAGCCTTCCAGCCCCTCCGTTAGCTCCAACAGGAATGCATTGTCAAGGAGAACCCTCCCCTGCCTTTCATAACCACCTGAGCTCTTAAAGCATCATACTGTTGGAGCAGAATTGACACTTGACACATCACATTGCTGGACTTATTAAAGTGAACGTGGGAAAACCCACAATGCCACTGTCATTTTAACAGTCAAACTGCAATGCCCAGTGATAAATCCAAACTGTGAGTCAGGGACGCTGATCAGCACACATGTTTCTGTCACTAGCACCAAGCAAAGTATCCATCCAATCAGCAAATCAGCTACCAGAATGAATTTACCAGAATTTGGGAATGAGCCTGCTTTGATTCAGAACAGAAATGTCAGGGGAGTTCTTGCTTTCTTTGGAAGCCCTCTTAATGGGATTTTAGGAGAAATTCCAGGTGAGTCGTACAGACTGGATGTTGGTGTGGTGTCCACTAAAAGGCTTTCCCACATGGCACTGCACTTGCAACAGTATGAAGATGGGTATAGTATACTGGACTCCCGTTAGGGAGTCAGGAATCCAGTCTGCATATTTGCATGGTTATTCTAACGAGCCCCTTGGGACTGGAGGAGGGGTAGAGTTCCAAGGGACATGTGCAGTCACATCAGATGATCACCAAATGGACTCCATAGCTTGGTCCCATTTCCCTGCAGGGCTTCACTTTCGCCCTAGGGGCAGCGCAAGTTTGGTGGTGAGAGCTAATGGCTTGGAATGTCAGTGAACAAGTTGAGTGCTGCTACCAAGGCCTTTTTACCCTGCCTGGTCTCCGTGCAGTTTCCTATCTCCCTGATAAATGCTGAATCTCCATTTAAATGTTTGGCATCAGTCCCTCTGTGGAGCCCACACAGAGTGCGTCTCGGTGCCATCAGGAATCAGGACCATGATATGGAGCCTCCGTGGGTGCCAGCCAGTTATGAGCAATGGTAGCTCATGCACTGAAGGGATTACTCCCATTAATTTATCCTTCTGGAGAGAGGCCAATCAGCGAAACTTCAAGCATTAGAAGAGACTTAAAAATCAGGTCTGATGATATTCAAGTCCCCACCGACAAGAACTGGTTTGAGGAGGGAAGGAGGGCAGAGGGAGGAGAAGCCATGTGTTTTAGAGAACCCTGTGACGGTCTTAATAAATAGATAGGAATCTTACTCACTTAGCATTTTCAGTATTAGAGAGCCAGTAGGACTGAAGAGGGGCCTGAGAACTGTACCTTCTTCCCTCCTAAGAGAACAAAGATTCTACAGAGCAATCTGTGCTCAGACTTTGTGCTTATGCAGGGAAGGGTTAAGAATGGGTTGAGCAGTATTTTCGAAGTGACTATAAATGATTAAGCTGATAAATATCAAAGGAGAATCGAGTTCTCCTCAAGTGCCTTTTATGATATTATTTAATCTCCAAAAGAAAAGTGCAATTTTAATACTACCCCACTCCTAATGATCCTACTCATCCTCCGAAACTCACTTAGATACCTGTATCACTGATCAAGAAAATGTTCCCAAATCACCCCCTGCTTATAGAATTAGTCCACATTTTCGACGTGCAGGTGTTGTCACTTATCACATTGAATTGTCCTGTGTTCATTTGCAGGTCTGTCTCCCCCACCGAACAGCGAGCCCCTTGAGTCCAGACATTGTCTTCATTTACCTCTCGGCTTCTGTTTTAACCTAGAGCTTGGGAAACCTTAATTATTTGGTATTTATGTACTTAATAAAGGAACACACTGAGTATAAGTACAGTATTTTCTCTGGAACTTTTGGTGGCCATGACTAAACATACTGGTTTTCTTTCTGGCTTCAGGTCATGGGCTAGTTATTCTAATCAGGTTAAATTATTTCATAGAGGAGATCACTGAATTTAAATAATTCTCCCGAGGCTGTGGAAATTGTTAAATGGCTCATCAATTTTTGGTAAGTTTGTGAAAAACTCACTTGGTAATAGAACCTGGTCTGTGCTGACACATTCATTTATAGCTTTCAGTTAGCCCACTTGCTCTAAAATTCATATTGTATGCCATAGAAACATTAATACACTTGATTGTTGGGTGCTTGCCTTTTTCTAAAGTATGAAATATTGAAAATTCTATAGTACATCTTGCCCCAAGAATTTCAGAGAAGGTACTGTGAATGTGTATAGTATTATTTCCTTAAGAGAACTTGTATCACGTGGTAGGTGTGCTTATTCTGTTAATGCTCAGTTCAGCAAGGCAAAATCAACTTCATGTCCAACTGGTGTTAGTCATTTGAACTTTATTGTTTGTGTTATTTTGTTTGCATTTAACAGTTAATGTATTTTGGGTGAAAATGTGTTGAAGCTATATGCAATTGCTATTAATTACTAATTTTATGTTTATACTATTTAGGTACTACTATAATAAAAGCAATCTAAGTAAAATAAAAAATGGAGGAAATCAGTGAAAAAATTGCATAGCTAAAATTAACTAAAAAAACCTCTCCTGTGGATATAGAACAGTAGAAATAATTTTGTGTCTCATTATAAACATTTACATGTGTATGTATTACTAGATGTATACATAAATATGCAATGCATGCTATAATAAAGATGGGCACTGTCCAGATTCAGATTAGTTGTCTTCTTCTCTCAACAACCCTACTTGTTTTTTTCTTTTACCAAAGGCTTATTATGTTTACCTAAGTTACATGCATTATTATGAGATGCTCAACTAGGAATATCTATTTATACCTACAGTCACAGAAATGGCTGATTCTTCCACTCAGTTTGGCTGATCCCACCCCCACCTCTTCAGCAACCACATGCATCCAGAGATTTCGGAGGAGCTGATGGAATCAACCAATTGATTTGGAATGATGAGGGTTGAGTCATAGAGCACTTGCATAGTCAGTCTCAGCCAGAAGGCTAGAACCTGAACAATGACATTTGTGGGACAGTTTAGGACATAATTCACATGCATCACCCAACAAGAAAAAATGTAGGAAGCAGGCTGGCTGTAAGAAAGGAAACAATGCAGGGGCATGAGGAATGGCAAGTAGAAACTATTTTCAATATCCGAGGGCAGAGAGGCAGCCATGGGAATGCACACTGCAACACCAGCTAAGTGTTGCTACAATGTGCGGCTGCAGGGCAGTGTTGCTGTATCTTCGTTTTTATTTTTTAAGTGGAGGTTGGGGGAGAAGACTAGGCTTTTATGTGAATTCTCCAGACTTTCTAAATTGGCAACTAATTCAAAAGAAAAAAAATAGGTTGGATCATGTGAAACACATCTGTGGGCCAGATTTGGTCTTCAGACCATCAGTTTGCATCCTGAGTTAGACCTGAAGGCAGCTATTGGCATCCTGGACAAACTTGTCACACATGGCCCCTGTTCCCACCTTGAGAGGAAAGGAGATGGAACTCTTCTTTTGTGGTAAATCCTACATTTCATCTGAGGTGATAGCTTTGGCCATGGTCCAAAGGTTTGCTTCTGGAAACCTGAAATCTCTTCCTGTCCTCATTCCTGTTTTTGGCTAATTGCATTAAAAATGAGACTGGAGTAAATTGAAAGGGATACTCAAGGGCCAATCCTAGGGCCTTATAAATTCTTTCAAAGTGAATTCTAAACTGAAATTCATCCTCTTTCCATTCCTTTTATATAGACTCCTCAGAGTTTATACAAAGTGCTAAATGTCCAACACTAAATGTGTCATTGGGCCAACAGGACCCATGAGCTCAATCTGTTTCATTATACAAATCTCCAAAACTTAATGATAAAATGTTTTCATTTACTTCAGTGAGAGCAAACATTTTTGGCAACACGACTGTGAAATTGTTAAGACAGCTTCCACATTTCAACCTTCACTTGTATTCTGTTTTTTAAAGATTTAATGTATTTTTAGAAACAGGGAAGGGAAGGAGAAAGAGAGGGAGAGAAACATCAGTGTGTCATTGCCTCTCCCATGCCTCCTCCTGGGGACCTGGCTCACAACTCAGGCATGTGCCCTGACTGGGAATCAAACTGGCAACCCTTTGGTTCACAGAGTAGCACTCAATCCACTGAGCCACATCAGCCAGGGCTCACTTGTATTCTTCTCATTTCTTTATGCAGCAATATGCATTAAGAGCCTACAGTATACTAAGTGCTATTTCTACTATTGGGGATATAGCAGAGACTAAGACAAGGCCTAAATTCCTATAAGTATAAATTGAATATACAATAATTTATATAATCATCTGATGCCGTGTGTGTGTGTGTGTGTGTGTGTGTGTGTGTGTTAGAAGCCTATCTGGAAAAAGTTCCACCATTGTTAATATAACAAGAATGCTTTGCACAACATTGATGTCACTGGGCAGCCAAGGTAAGTGGACTGGAATGCACATGTGTGAACAATGATGACTTCCCTGTACTAGTCAGTGGTGGAAGTTGACATTGTCGAGTGAACATGTGTACTGGTGACCATTGCATTCAAAATGACTGAGCAAGTAGAGCAACAAACCTGCATCAAATTTTGTGTTAAGCTTGAACATTTCTCTGTGGAAGGTATTGGGATGATTCAGAAGGCCACAGCTATGGGCAACTGGTGACTGGCAGCTTCATCACAACAATGCACCCACTCACCCATCACATCTTCTGCAGAGTTTTTCTGGTGAAACATCAAATGACCCAGGTGACTCAGTCCCCCTGCAGCCCAGATTTGGTGCCCCGAAACTACTGGCTTTTCCCCAAACTAAAATAACCTTTGAAAGAGAAGAGATTTCAGACTATTGATGAGATTCAGGAAAATACAATGGGGTGGCTAATTATGATTGGGAGAACTGTATGAGGTCCCAGAGTGCCTACTTTGAAGGGGACTGAGGTATCACTGTTCTCTGTGCACCGTTTCTTGTACTTGTACCTACTTCAATAAATGTCTTTGTTTTTCATATTACATGGCTAGAAAACTTCTGAACAGGCTTTACATACATACATACATACATACATATATATATGTGTGTATATATATGTAGAAGTATAACAATAGATATTACACAAAACTAAATATGAAATCACAGACTATACTCTATCCTCAAAGGATAGAAGGGAAAAAAATGTATCCATCCTAGAGAGGCAGGGAAAAGAAGCCCAGAGAAGAAAAGAAAGAACATGGGAAAAGTGTTCTTAATAGTAAAGATTGTGAAACTAAAACACATACAGATGCAGATGAACACAGGCAACTCTATATCAGTTGTCAGGTAGTAAGACGTTCTGGGGCTTCATGTCTCTGGTTCTTCATATGCCTCTGGTTCTCAGCTCTGCATTTCATGAATTCTCAACTGAGAGGCAGAATGACTGCTTTTGAGAAGTTGAGTATGTAGTTCACTGTAACTGCATTAAACTGCATTTTCTAGCCAGGGTTTAAAGAAAATCCCCACTGGAGTAAATAAGCAGTAAAAATGTCCAAGTAAAAAGTAATAAATCAAAAGCAGCTTAGTTTTAAGAGGCAATAAGGACCGAAAAGAAGACTGCAGCAATACAAACAACACTTAAAGACTGTGTCTGCTGGTCTCACATCTCCAGCAGAGACACTCACAAGCCTGGGTTCCCACGCGGTTTGAACAACTGTTGATCTGCCTGACTTCTCTTGTATCAAGCTTTTTCTGAATAAAAGCCTTGAAAAGAATCAATAGGTTGGCTGAGATCATCAAAGCAAAATAGTTTCAGAGGTCAAGTTTCCCTATCAGCCATATCTCCCAAAGCAGATTATAGCATTTGTATCGCTAATTAAAATTAAACACTTCCTTTCTATTTCTGGAGGCAAAGTCTGAAACTGCCAAAGCCAAGGAGCTGGAAAACTTTATTTTCTTAAGAATTGAGAAATATTTCCCCAGCCTACAAAGACATAGACTTGACTACAATTTTTCTTATTTCCCCAATACTCTGCTAACGGGGATCAAAAGAGGTTTAAAAAAACCCCAACTTTATCAAGTGTAAGGATTCTTATCTTTCTGCATATTCTTATAATCAAATGAATTAATCATTACTTGAAGGAAATGACCAGAAATTCTTATAATAGTCACAAGCCAATTTCATTTGAAATTTGTAAATAATTGAAAATGGAATGTTTTGTTTGTGTTGCTGTTGGGATAATTCAGTCAGTACTTCTCTCTTTCTTCCATTTGCTATGTGTAGAGCTACTTTATAAAACCTAGAAAATAGAGAATATATTTGGGAATCAAAAGACATGACAACCTCTCAACATTAGAAGACAGCTTCCAAGTGTTCACTCATTTGCTTACTCCTTGAAATAATTACTGGACATGGGTTATAGATGGGACTATAGATAGCTGTGTATGATAGTGAGGACACAGTGATGAATGAAGTGGTCATGAAGGTGTCCCCTGGAGTCTATAGAGAATATAGACAACAAACCAGGTGCTACCAGTGGGGGAAGGATGCTGAAGGAGAAGCCTCAGGGTATCAGGCAAAGGACCCATTCCTGAGTAAGGAAGGGATGGCTATCTTCTTGAAGGAAGTGACGCTTCTGCTGGGACCTGAAGGATACGTAGGAAGTTTGTAGGAAGGGCAAAGGGAAGATGGAAAGGAATGAATGAAACCATCTGGGATGTTCTAGCCCAGCTCTCATCTGACTACAGCTGCATGAGGGAATCAAAGAGCAACATAAAAGCCACAGCAGCAAGTCCCAGTCAATCCAGAGAATCGTGAGCAATAACAATAATAATTTAGTGGCTCAAACATGAGCCACTAAATTTGGGGGCATTGACTATGCAGCAATAAACATGATGGTTTGTACTTTACAAGTAAAAACCAGATGTGTTGACAGCAGACCTACATGTTGTAGGAGCCCTGCTGAGCTACAGGAACCTCAGGGTGTCAAGGTCCATGCCTTCCAGACATCTGTTTATTCCATGGTGAGAAAGAGCATTGGGGAGAGAACTTTCTTTGTGTAGGTGCGTGGATATGGGTTGACCAAGGGGTGAAGGGAAGGAAACCTGGAACTTCCTCCCCTGATAGGCCTTGTAGCATAGGGCTGAGTCCTCCACAGGCTATTTTATATATGTTTGTGTGGGGCCCAGTGCCGGGTTGTGGAGCAGGGGAAACAAAGGGAAGTTTCTATGGCCTGAGGTGTTCTGGAATGTTGCTCTGGTGGCCAAAACAGCAAGCAGGACAGAGTGCAGGAACCCGAGCGGGCTTCCCTCTGGGCATGGGCTCCTGGAAGCAGCTATGGGAGACAGGAAGGGCTGGGCTCTCCAACACCCCCAGAGCAGCTGCTTGTTTTTCTGTTGCTTTTGGCCTTCTCATTTTTCCTAGTTCTTCCTTCTAGGAAGGGTAACCTAACCTCTCTGAACCATGAATTCTTTACCTTTAAAATGGGAAAAATGAAAATATCCACTGTAAGAATTAATTAAGACAATACATGGTAGAGAGGAATGAAAGGGGGGAGGAATGGGACAACTGAAATAGCATAATCAATAAAATATATTTTAAAAATTGAAAAAAAGATGATACATGTAAAGCTCTTACA